AGGGGTCAGCGAGGGAGACTGCAACCGGCCGAGCAAGCTGCTCAAGGGCAGTGCGGTCACGAAAGAAACAGCGGGAAGCGCCTGAGTCCAGTGTGAAGGTGTGCAGTGCCTCAGTAGACGCAGTACCAGAGGGCGCAGACTCACGAGTACCTAGAGCAGCAGCCTCACCAGCACCTGGGGCAACAGACACACGAGCACCTAGTGCAGCAGCCTCACCAGTACCTAGAGCAGCAGACTGGATACCGGGGTCAGGCGGCACACACAGGTGACAGGCACTCTCAGCACTAGTAGGAAATGCATACATGGCAGTGAGGATAGCATCATAGTCAAGAGCATAGATATCTACCCTCTGCCTAAGCAGCTCCACCCAGTCGGGGAGCTCAGCCGCGTCGCCAAACTCTGTACGCCAGGCGTCGCTCAGACGGGCGAAGCAGCGGGACTCTGTGTGACCAAACGTCCCGCAAGGCTGACCAGTCCGAGCACCAGTGCGAATGACGTACGGGCAGCGAGCAGTACCCCGTGACCCTCCACGCTGAGCGTACCACTCACGAAGCTGCTGGGGCGTGAGGGACTCACTCGGACGTCGCGGGAGCTGCATCTGGCCACCGCCAGGAGCAGCAGTAGCAGTAGTAGCAGCAGTAGTAGTAGCAGCAGCGCGGCCACCCCTACAACCCCAACCAGCATACCACTCACGAAGCTGTTGGGGCGTGAGGGACTCACGCGGACGGCGCTGGAGCTGCATCTGGCCACGCCAGGAGCAGCAGTAGAAGTAGAAAGAGCAGTAGCAGCAGGAGCAGCAGTAACAGCAATACGGGCAGGGCAGTGCTCACCAGTGGCGAGAAGGGCAGGCGTACGACGGTGGTAACGGCGAGGCCGCTACCACTGCAGGGCGAGGGCTCCGCGGCAGCTGCAGGGGCGGCTGCTCCAGGGGCCAGGGGCGGCTGCAGAGGTCCAGGGGCGGCTGCTGCAGGGGCAGCTGCTGCAGGGGCGGCTGCTGCAGGGGCAGCTGCTCCAGGGGCGGCTGCTCCAGGGGCCAGGGGCAGCTGCTCCCTTTTTTTTTTTTTTTTTTTTTTTAACTATTTATTTTAGGGTTTGGCAGAGCGCACTCGGCGCTGCAGAGGCGGCTCGCGGGCTGCAGGGTGGCTCGGGCAGCAGCGAGGGGGGGGGGGGGGCGGGCGCGGCTCCCCAGGGCGTCGCGACGGGGCAGCGGGGGGGGGGGGGGGGGGGGGGGGGCGCGCGCGGCTCCCCAGGGCGTTGCGACGGGGCAGCGGGGGGTCGCGCGCGGCTCCCTAGGGCGTCGCGACGGGTCAGCGGGGGCCGAGCGCGGCTCCCCAGGACGTCGCGACAGGGCAGCGGGGGGCCGAGCGCGGCTCCCCAGGGCGTCGCGACGGGGCAGCGGGGGCCGAGCGCGGCTCCCCAGGGCGACGCGACGGGACAGCGGGGGTCGCGCGCGGCTCCCCAGGGCAGCGCGACGGGGCAGAGGCAGCGCCCACGGGCGACACGCGGCTCGGCAGGGCAGCGCGCTGGCTGCAGGGGCGGCTCTCGGGCCTGACGGGTCTGCAGAGGCGGCTCGGGGGCCTGACGGACCTGCAGGGGCGGCTCGAGGGCCGTACTAGCTTGCAGGAGGCAGCGCGAGGGCTGCAGGACGGCACGCGGGCAGACCGAAGGGCGGGTCGCACGGGGGCGCACGAGGGCGCACGTAAGGTAGGGCGCACGAGGGCGCACGAGGGCGCACGAGTATAGAAAGGCGCACGAGGGCGCACGTAAGGTAGGGCGCACGAGGGCGCTTCTAGCGGAATAGTGGGCCCGTAGGAGAAAGCGGTCCTAGGTAGCAACCTAGGCTCGTGATACCATGTTAGAATGTAGAACTGAACGAGAATGTGTGAAACTAGGCAGCAGGGTGATACAAGTAGGAAACCCTAGCAATGTTGTACCCCCTAAGGCTAAACCCACTATAGCCTACACAATATGAACATGTATAATGTTTGACAAGAGGAAGTAGTTTTGAGGCGCCTCTAAGGATGTGGATGGCGCTGGGACAGAGGAAGTAGTTTTGAGGCGCCTCTAAGGATGTGGATGGCGCTGGGACAGAGGAAGTAGTTTTGAGGCGCCTCTAAGGATGTGGATGGCGCTGGGACAGAGGAAGTAGTTTTGAGGCGCCTCTAAGGATGTGGATGGCGCTGGGACAGAGGAAGTAGTTTTGAGGCGCCTCTAAGGATGTGGATGGCGCTGGGACAGAGGAATCATAGCATAGTGAGGACTTTGGTGTGGGCATTGGTGTGACCGGGAGGAGGGAGGGGAGAGGGGGAACGAGAGCAGCGGGGGAGGTTGGGAGGAGTGGAAGAACAAGAGGGAGAGAGGGAGTGGGATGGGGAGTTGGAGGGAGAGGAATCAAATCAGCGGTAAAGGAGGCTGTTGATAGGATACAGTGGGAAAGAGGGGGTGAGAGAGGAAAGGAGTGGGAGAGTGGGAGAGTGAGAGAAAGAGGGAGGGAGCGGTGAAGAGAGGGGAAGTGATAAAGAGAGTGGTAGAGCAGGGGAGAGTGCTGGTAGGAGGAGGAGGCGCGAGCTACCTTGGGCGTCGTTGATGCGAGTGGCGGCAGCAGCGCACGGCACCAGCAGAAGCAGCGCCGCCGCAGCCACCAGCAGCAGTAGCAGCGGCGGCGGTGGCGTTGACAGGCGGAGGTGCAGCAGCGGCGGAGGGAAGGAGAAGCTGTGCCGGTCGCCCATGACTCTCCAAAAAGGTCTTCCTTTGGAGAACGGAAGGAAGGAAGGTAAGGTGTGCTAAGCTGAGCAACGACTCAGTGAGGAGTGGTAAGGGAGAGAGAAAAACTCGTTCAGACGGCAGGCTAGTACCACGGCGGTCACGGAGGCGTCACGAACTCACGGCTGCTTTGCTCAGGCCGCCTGAGAAAGGCTGGGCCTGCGTCTCCAAAAGAGATTCACTCGCAGACGAGAATTGGCAGTGCGAAACTTTCGCCCTGGCGGACACCGTATCAATCAGCACAGAATCAACACGACTAGAGGGTCCTTCAACGTCTTGAAATTCGACTCGCTTGGAGGTCAGCGTGTTGTAGATACTCGGCAGTGATGCGATCCCGTGGGGTGGCATATATTAAAACGGGGATATTAGTCTATATACTTGTGTGCGAACGTGTTTGTTTCCAGATGGGCTATAAACAAAGAAAACACAGCGAGAATGTCAGCCTGAAGCTCAAGATTCCAGCCTCCAGTGCAGTGGATGACGAAAAGAATTTGGCTCGTGCCAAGAATGCTCGCGCGGCACTTGTCGGACTGGCGAACCCGGAAGGTTGAGTCAACCTTCTGCCACGAGTTTGCCGCGCGGGAGAGCTTGCGCGGGATACACGTGGAGCCGCGGCAGCCATGGCATCGAGCCGGCGCAGGAGTGGACGACGCCAGAGCGCGCTAGGCGGCGCTGTTCCACGTGGACTCATGGAATGGCAAGACTGGGACACCACCTCTACCACCTCCATCACGGTTCTCATGTACTAAGTAGGACTTGCCATCGCAGTAGGACTTGCCATCGCAGTAGGACTTGCCATCGCAGACAGACAGACAATCCATGAGAACCATGAAGGACGGAGGCCCTCCACCGCCACTGGTCCTATGCTCATTCGCGCGTGTCGCGGGCCGATGAGCGGCGCTGCGACGTCGACATCCGTCGACCACCCTCGACGTGACAATTGTCAAACATTTGATGAGCAAGTGCCGGTTTTCTGCTGCCGCGGTGTGCGTGTGACGCGCGACGAGCTCCACCTTCACGGGGAGGCTCGAAACTCCGCGTGACGCTTCGGCAGCCATCGTGACTGTCAAGTCATGATGACGTAATGATGGCGAACGAGAGGGAAACGGGAGCAGGCCTTCGTACTACAGGAATATCGTGCACTAGCTCGACACCACCTCTTTCTCTCGGTCTATCTTGCTTTTCATCTCCCTGTGCGCGGGCGCACTGCAGCCGTTCACATGCATTCACCCACGCATTGCTGGATTCGCTTCTTTCTTTCTCAGCTCCCAACGGCTCAAGCCAAGGAACGACCAAGAAAGCGCGAATCGTGCGACCACCCTGTCCGTCCCCATAGAAGAGGCCCCTACCCAGGCCCTCAGATTCGTTTTTGGCCTGTCTGATTTGTCAGACTTGTCTACAGTTTTTGTCTGAAACTGTCAGAGTTGGCTTTTATAAAAGGCTGATATTTCAGAGTCACCATTAAAAAAAGTCTGAAACGTTCAGACTCATCCTCACTAAGAGTCTGATCTGTTTGTGATTGGCCTTCGTTGAACTACATTAGATTGGCCTACAACATTTGGCATTAGACTAGACTATAATAGGCTACAATTAGACTCTACATCCTTCCTACCTATCTAAGTTATCCACCCTACTCATCAAATCCATCATCATCATCACTGTCAGATGCATCATTATCCTCTTCTATGTCTTCTACTTCCATCACCTCATCCGCCAGCTTGGCCTTGTTCTGATGCTTTCTTGCAGGCGGGAGTGGAGCGTTGCTGTGGGGGGCTTGCGCTTCTTGTAGGCCCTCCAGATTGTCACAATCTCCTCCCACTTGGGCTCGTAATCCATGAGACTCATGCACATGAGATCTCCGAGCCGTGCGTCCTTCAGCGCGCCTCTCTGCCACGACTTGATAATGTTCTGCCTGCAGAACCCCCGCTCGCACTCCACGCTGCTCAGCGGCAGTACAGCTACCGCCACCCACAAAAGCACAAGGTTGGGGTAGTTGTCCCGCCAGTCGGGTGTCTTGAACATGGCTGTGAGCCCTGCGTGGAAGCTGCGCTCGCCCTTGGTAGAGGCTGGAAGCACCGAGGTGAACATGCGCAACTCCTTCTCTGCACGGCGCTTGTTGACTCCTGGAGGGGTTGGGAAAAGGATAACAAAAGAACAAAATGAGTACACAAGTACAAACATACATTGAAGCGTAGCACATCATACAAGCAGAGCAACGATGAAGCATGATATAACGACTACACAATAGGCTTACCTGGCAGTATCTCTTCCGCCAGGTCGGCCTTGAACAAAGTCACAAGCGACTGCAGCCACTGAAGGCACCTCCGATTCCTCTCTACTCGATCCAGCGGGTACTCGTCTGGGATGAACAGCTTTGCCCCAGACATCCCTTCCAGGTCGCCAAGCCGATGCTCGAGTTGGTGAACGATCACCTCCGCGAACTCCGTGCAGACCTCCACGCAGTCATCGTGGGTCCCGCGCCCTTCGAACTCCTCCAGCTCGTCCTCATGCAGCCTGAAGGTGAAGCGTGCAGGATGGCCGTCTGAGTCAACCCCTTCGACTTTAACCTCCCGGTTTCCTCCTGGCCCATGGCGCGCGATGAAGGGGGACAACAGCTCGCTCACGCCGCCACCGAAGTCGTCGTCGCAATCAACGTAGCGGCTCTCGATGTGGGACGTTGTGCGCTTGATCTGCGCATGCACATGCACGCTCGCATAGTCAAGCTAGACAGAAACAAGACAGACGGTAGTTAGTGGCAATTGACGGTAAACATGCAGGATTATAGCAGAATGCCCACCGCACAAAACAATAATGACAGAAAACAATGAGCTTACTCACTTCCTTGTGCTGGACGCCCTGTTCAGGATGTTGAGCTGCTCAAGCACATCCGCAATGAAGAAAAAAAGGAAATGAAACTTGTAACTTGTCACAAGAGCATACAGCTTTGCGTCCCACTCCTTCAGCATCACGATGAGAGCCGGAAGCACTGCGACAAGCCTGAGCACTGCGTCGCCCCGTGAAAGCCAGCGGACGGAATGACTGCCCTGGAGCTCAAGAGAAGTGGACGCGAAAACTTCTTGGAGCCCCATGAACCGTTGGTGCCATGGCCCTGAACGGCCGAGATGCTCTGCCACGGTGCAAATCACCATGTCAATGACATTGAACGCCGGAATCTTCTCGGCGCCTGTTTTAGCCGCCAGTGTACAACAAATACAATAACATTAGTATATCGGGAAGGTCAACAAACTTAAAAAACGCACGGCAAGTTTATGAAAGAATAGACATACCTGTGCTCGATACAGTGGGATGACACAAGATGGGGGATGCGCAGGCGGAGGCGGGTGGTGAGGCCAGACTTGCTGCCCATCATGACGTTGGCACCGTCGGTGCTGATCACCGCGATGCGCTGAAGGTCGACCCCGACTGCTTGCAGATGTAACAGCAGAATACCCAGAAGAGAAGCGGCGTCGGCCTTCTCCACGGTAAGTAACGCCATGAACTCCGTGACAAGCTTGTTGTCGCGGATGAACGTGACGAAGAGGATCAGGTGCTTCCCGCTGCACCTATCCGTGCTCTCGTCAATCGCGATGCCGATGAAGGGCGACGCCAGCACGTGTTCCAGCTGGGTTGTCTGGAGCCATGTCGCAGTCGCTTGCGTAAGCTCACCGAAGCCGTATCTGCACATGGAAACAACAGTGAGAACATTAGTATAGAAATAAAAAATTGACCTACCGATGTGTTTTAAATAGCTTCCGGCAGTTGCGCTCACGTGGTGTAATAGGTGTCGTACCCCTTCTTCGGGAAGCCGGGCACGCCCTTCTCCGTCAGGTAACGCACCAGCCTCACCCACATCCCCATGGGCGCGTCGGACCTGCTGATGAACAGCAATGAGTCGAGAAGGGCGACGACGCGCATCTGCTCTCCGTCCACTGTGGCGCGATGCTGGTCTATCTGCGGCTGCCTCGCACCGCACTCCTGCACAGCCGTTTGTCTTGCCATGGCCAGCTTGTGCTTCGCCGTGCCCGCGTGCTTACAAAAAGATTGGGTCTGCAAGTCAGTGGCGCCTTTCCCGCGTCTCCCGCACTTGCCTCCGTCGCCAGCATGAGCTGCACAAACAGTACACTTGAAGGCAGGCAACCCCGAGGTGGTTTTAGTGATTTGAAGCCAGGGGAAACGTGTTTGCCAGAGACTCTTGAACTTGTCAATTGCATCATCGTAGAGTCCTTCAATGAGCTCGGCCATGTTTATCGTGAGTCGAGGACGCGGATGTCAGATTTATATGACATAGCTACTGTAGGCTATAGTGGGGTAGCACATATGGGGTACAGTTTTCTAGGGTTTACATTTGTACCCAACTTTCCCTTAGTCAATTCATTCCTCGTTTCTTCTCATGGTATCGAGCAGGTTCCCTAGTGGGAACGATTCCTAGGGCCCACCACCACGATTTTTTTTTTTTTTTTCCTGCCCGGAGCGCGTTTTGCTCCGGCCCGAGTCGCGCCGCCCCTACGGCCCTTCGCGCCGCCCTTTCGGCCCGTCGCGCCCGTCGCACCTGTCGCGCCCGTCGCGCCCGTCGCGCCCGTCGCGCCCGTCGCGCCCATCGCCACCTTACGCGGCCCCGCCACCTACCTTCGCGGCCCCGCCACCTACCTGTGTGGCCCCGCCACCTACCTTCGCGGCCCCGCCACCTAACTGTGCGGCCCCGCCACCTACCTCCGCGGCCCCGCCACCTACCTGTGCGGCCCCGCCACCTACCTTCGCGGCCCCGCCACCTACCTGTGCGGCCCCGCCACCTACCTCCGCGGCCCCGCCACCTACCTGTGCGGCCCCGCCACCTACCTTCGCGGCCCCGCCACCTCACTGTGCGGCCCCGCCACCTACCTCCGCGGCCCCGCCACCTACCTGTGTGGCCCCGCCACCTACCTCCGCGGCCCCGCCACTTGCCTGTGCGGCCCCGCCATCTACCAGCGGCCCCGCCACCTACATGCGGCCCCGCCACCTACTAGCGGCCCCGCCACCTACCTGCGGCCCCGCCACCTACCTTTGCGGCCCCGCCGCCTCCTCTCAGCGGCCCCGCCGCCTCCTCCCAGCGGCTCCGGACGCCGCCCTCTCAGCGGCCCCGCCGAGCCGCCCAGCAGCCAAGCCGCCCAGCCGCCGAGCCGCCCAGCAGCCGAGCCGCCCAGCAGCCGAGCCGCCCAGCAGCCGAGCCGCCCAGCAGCCGAGCCGCCGAGCCGCCCAGCAGCCGAGCCGCCGAGCCGCCCAGCAGCCGAGCCGCCGAGCCGCCCAGCAACCGAGCCGCCGAGCCGCCCTACAGCCGAGCCACCCGAACCGCCCTGTCCGGTAAGAGCAGCGCCCCTTTCACAGCACTGCCCTCACCCTACTGTTTGCGCTGCTAGTCTACTGCTGTCATGGCTACCCCTAGTGTCCTCGCTTTTGACGCTGAGGGTCGGGCCATTGACTTTGACGTCTGGATAGATGACCTGCAGCTTTTCTTACAGTGCGACAGGGCAGACGGCCTCTCCCTCTTTGACCTCACTTCTGGTGCCTCTCCTGCCCCCGCTGTGTCAGAACATATATATAGCTTATGCTGTTGTGTAGGCTATAGTGGGGTATCCCATAGGGGGTACAACCCAATTAGGGTTTCCCATATGTACTCACTTCATTCATAGTTCATTCATTCTCGTTCTACTTTTCTCATGGTATCAGAGCAGGTTCCCTCGTGGGAACTGTTCCTAGGGCCCACCGTTTTTTTTCCTGCCCGGAGCGCACTCTGCCCCTACCTGAGTCGCGCTCCCCTCTCTCTTGGCCCCTAGTGGCCCCTTTAGCCGCCCGTCACGGCCCTTAGACGCCCGCGCGCCGCCCGTCCCGGCCCCTTAGACGCCCGCGCGCCGCCCGTCCCGGCCCCTAGACGCCAGTGCGCCACCCGGCCCGGCCCCTAGACGCCCGCGCGCCGCCCGTCCCGGCCCCTAGACGCCCGCGCGCCGCCCGTCCCGGCCCCTAGACGCCCGCGCGCCGCCCGTCCCGGCCCCTCGACGCCCGCGCGCCGCCCGTCCCGGCCCCTCGACGCCCGCGCGCCGCCCGTCCCGGCCCCTCGCCGCCCGTGAGCCGCCCGTCCCGGCCCCTAGACGCCCGCGCGCCGCCCGTCCCGGCCCCTAGACGCCCGCGCGCCGCCCGTCCCGGCCCCTCGACGCCCACGCGCCGCCCGTCCCGGCCCCTAGACGCCCGCGCGCCACCCGGCCCGACCCCTAGACGCCCGCGCGCCGCCCGTCCCGGCCCCTCGACGCCCGCGCGCCGCCCGTCCCGGCCCCTCGACGCCCGCGCGCCGCCCGTCCCGGCCCCACGCCGCCCTACCTGCGGCCTACTCGCCGCCCTACCTGCGGCTCGCCCGCCGCCCTAACTGCGGCCCGCCCGCCGCCCTACTTGCGGCCCTACCGCCGCCCTGCCTGCGGCCCGCCCGCCACCCTACCTGCGGCCAGCCCGCTGCCCTACCTACGGCCCGACCGCCGCCCTACCTGCGGCCCAACCGCCGCCCTACCTGCGGGAGCCGCCTAGCAGCAGAACCGCCGGGAGCCGAGCCGCCCTGCCGCCGAGCCGCCCGGGAGCCGAGCCGCCCTGCCGCCGAGCCGCCCGGGAGCCGAGCCGCCCTGCCGCCGAGCCGCCCGGGAGCCGAGCCGCCCTGCCGCCGAGCCGCCCGGGCGCCGAGCCGCACTGCCGCCGAGCCGCTGAGCAGCCGAGCCGCCCTACTGCCGGGCCGCCCCACCTGCCCTGTCCGGTGAGCACAGCCCCACTGTCACTGCGTGCCCTTCCCCTACTGCTTGCACTGCTCGTCTGTCGTCGTCATGGCTACCCCTAGTGTCCTCGCTTTTGACGCTGAGGGTCGAGCCATTGACTTTGAGGTCTGGGTCGACGACCTGCAGCTGTTCTTACAGTGCGATAGGGCGGACGGTCTTTCCCTCTTTGACCTCACCTCTGGCGCCTCTCCTGCCCCTGCTACTGATGCTGACCCCACTGTTCGCTCTCAGTGGGCCACCCGCGATGCTGCTGCACGTCTTGCTGTACGTCGCCACCTGCCTACCACTGAGCGCGCGCACTTTAGTCAGTACAAGAGTGCTCAGACCTTGTACGACGCTGTAGTTGCGCGCTACTCTTCCCCTGCCACTGCTGCCCTGAGCCGCCTCATGCTACCGTACCTCTTTCCTGACCTTGCTGCCTTTCCCACTGTCGCTGACCTCATTACGCACCTCCGCACTAGTGACACTCGCTACCGCGCCGCCCTTCCTGCTGAGTTCTGCGCCAAGAACCCCCCCCCCATGTACATCACTCTCTATTACATCGTCACACGCCTCCCTGACTCCCTTCGCGTAGTCAGGGACCACTACCTCTCGGTCTGTCCCACCACTCTCACTGTCGACCTCCTCGAGAAGTCCCTCCTGGCGGCGGAGAAGAGCATCGTCGCTGTAGGAGCCTCTCGTGGTGACCCTCGCACCCCCATCTTTGAGGGGTGTTCTCCTTCCCCCCTGCTGCCCTCTGTTGCCTCTGCTGCTGCTGCCGACCTGCTTGGTCTTGAGTCGGTCTGCGCGGCGTCTGCCCCTAGCGGGAGACGCCGCCCTGGCAGGGGCAAGGGGGGCAAGGGCGCGGGTGGAGCTGGCGGGGGCGGTGGAGGAGGCGGTGGAGGCGGAGGAGGGAGTGGGGGTGGCGGTGGGAGTGGTGGCGGGGGCGGTGGTGGAGGTGGCAGCAGCGGAGGAGGAGGCGGCGGTGGCGGCAGCGGTGGGAGCGGAGGCAGCGGTGGTGGTGGAGGTGGAGGCAGCGGTGGCGGAGGGGGTGGAGCTGGTCGGGGTGGTGCCCCGCAGCGTAGCGGCCCTGGTGGTGGCCAGCGTCAGCAGCAGCAGCAGCAGCAGCAGCAGCGTTCGCGGGACATCCCCCCGCCCCAGCAGCTCCGTGAGTGGTACACGCAGCGTCAGCGGGGTGGGGGTTTTGGTCCGTGCACCTACGTCCTTCGTTCCGGCGACCGCGCGGGTGAGCAGTGTGGGGGTGCCCACACCACCCAGCGCTGCTTTGCCCGCCTGACGGACGCTTGGCGTCAGCAGTTCCC